TTGGCCCAGCAGAGCTGGGTTGACCGTCAACGAGTTCGATCGTCAGTGGACGCTGATGCGGGACTAGGGCGATGCGGTGTTTGCGGGCAAAGTCTCTGTCGATGAAGCAGGACAGGGCACCGTTGTCGATCATGGCTGAGGTAGGTATTGGGGCGCGGCTGGATGATACCATGATGGTAACGGGGTAGTTGAAGGGTTCGACGGGACCCAGCGCAAGCATGGCGCGGGGGTTAATTTCGGAGTTTTCGACATGGGCAGCGGCTAGGAGGGTTGTGTCGGCTATAACGGAGTCGGGAACCAGGGGGGTGGCCTCTCCCGTTGCAGGAGCTGCGAGGTTAGGAGGCCCGGGGCGGTGTGTGTTGTCCAGTCGCTGGGGCTTTACTGCGGCTGGACTTTGGGAAAACCCTGTTCAGTGGAGGGTTCTTTGATGTCGACGTTGGCGGCACGGGTGGTGGTCTTGTTCTTGACGGGGCAGACTTTTGCAATGTGCCCCACGCCACCGCAGTAAAGGCAGAGGTTGTTGGAAATGCGGCGTTGGCGTTCCTGAGGGCTCAGAGGGCCGCGGGGACGAGCGGCGTCAATCTGCATAGGCTCGCTGTGGTCGACAGTGGTGGTAGTAGTAAACGAGGTGTGGGGAACCGGGAAGGTCTGGCGGCTTCTGTTTCGCTCCAGGCGGCGCTCAAACAGCCGGTTATCGCACTGGATAGCCTGCTCCATCACCACATCAATGGTGGCCGCAGGGGGCATTGTGAGCATCAGGTCTTTGACGTCTTCTTTGAGGCCACGGCGGAAGGTAGCAATCAGGGCCTGGTCGTTCCAGGAGACATCGCATTGTAGCTGGCGGAACTCAGCGACGTACTCGGTTGCTGCACGGGTTTGGCGAAGGTTCTGGAGCTTGTTTTCAGAGGTGCGGACCCTGTCGCTGTCTCCGAAGACCGATTGCATCTGACTGATAAAACTATTGAAGTCCTGAAGGCTGTGATCTTGGCGTTCGACTAGGGGCGCCATCCAGGCTTGCGCAGTGCCGGTGAGGTAGGTGCCAATAGTTTGGATCTTGATGATGTCGCTGGGGTAGCGGTCGGGCTGGAGAGCAAACATCAACCGGATGTTGTTCAACCACCCACGGAATTTGCTGCGGGTACCATCAAACTTCTCGGGCGAGCTGATTCTTGGCTCCAGAGCAGGGTTGGCGACTTGGGGACGGGTGTACGTATCGGCTTGAACCTGGGCGGCGATGCTCTGGGCAGCTTGTGCGTCGGCTTGGGCTTGCGCTAGGTTGGCCTGCAAGTTGGTGTTTTGGCTTTGCAAGGCGGCGATGGCTTGGCACATATCGTTCCATTGCTTGGCGGTGAAAGGTACGGATTCGGGTTGGGACATGGCGAAAAAGGTTTGTCGGATGCAGGGCTGGACAGGTTCTGAACTTCGCAGTGTTGGAGCAGATCAAACTGTTATGATCTCGACGACGGAGGCGGAAGCGAAGTAGAGAAGACAGGGCGAGTGTGATAGGCGACAAGAGATTGTATTGGCGAAACAAGAAACAAGGACTAGAACAGGAGATGAGAAGAACTGGTGTTGATCTGCTGGGGAGGAAGGGAATGGACGAAGAGAGGCCGGCTATTTATAGATAGGCAACCCAGCAGATCAGAGAACAACAACAACAAGAGGGGACTGGGGGGGCGCCAGCTATGCTCCTAGAGCGTGCGTGGCGAGCGTAGAGAGCATTGCTACAGCTGCTGGCTATGGGGAAGTAGTGGGGGGTGTGGAGAAGCCAAGGGGGGATTGGCAAAATGAGAGGAGAGAGGAGGAGTGGCGATATTGCAAGAGGATTGGCGAAATGAGAGGAGAGAGGGGGAGTGGCATTGACATTGACATTGACACTGACATTCACACTGACATTGACACTGACATTGACATCGACATTGGCGTTTGACATCTGGCGGTTGACATTGGCGGCTGTCAGTAGGTAAGCTTATGGTATGGGCGCGTCGTCCATAACAAGGCCTTGAAGCAGTTGATCTGTAGGTCGTGTAGGGTTCACTCGATAGGCGGCGTCAGTGTCCGTAGACCAGACTTCACAAGGTATCTTCCGGCGGGCGTAAGCGATAATCTGCTCGGCGAGGTGTTCAATATGGTCGAGATGACAGTCGCCAAAAACGGAGCGAATGATCCGATCGTTAACGCTTGATCCATCTCTGGGCCAACTGTGGTCGTGAATGATTCTCATCTTATCAGGTTTGTTCGCCTTGGGTACCGCGCCCATCGGGTTGATGACGAAGTAAGGTGCGCGCATGGTATCGGTAGAAGAGAGCAGTGTCCGACGACCAGACGCAGCCTCCTCCAGGATGTTGTCCGTGACGTGTGTGTCTGCCGCCAAGGCCCACGGATGGTTGCGTGATTGGAATGCTATGTGCGCTGCTTTTCCGATGAAGAGAAAAGGCGTAAGAGTCGCTGCTTGCCTGCAAGCCTTTATTGGCCTGAGCGAGCAGCTGGCAACCAAATGGGTCACGGGGCTTCACGTGCACCCCACTTTATGGGCTGAGCCCATACCGATCGGCCTTCGGTGGAGTGAACTTTGGGGGCCGATCCACGACTCTTGAAGCGACGCCTACTCTATAGGTCCTGTCAACCGGATCCAACCGGATCTCAGTCTCCCGTGTCTGGATCATGGGGTTCATATTCTTAGTGTTGAGGTTCAGCTTTTCCTCGGGGACCTCCTTACCTCCAGCAGGAGCTTGAAATTGGAGCCCTGTTTGTGCGGTCACTTCAGCCGGATAGTTGTAAACATATCCTGTTTGATCCGGGATAGGAAGTCCGCTCGTAGAGGTGGAGGTGCCAACCGAAACCGCCGTTCCCGGCCTCCTCGAAGGCGTAATGCGATCCAGGAAAAGTTCCCGTTCGCGAAAACCCTTCTCAGCTTTTAGAAACTCCATAGCGTCTTTGTAAGCCCTGGTTTGGAGCTTAGCTGCGTTGAGCTTCAGCTCTTCAACTGAGGAGATGACCGTCTCGTGCTTTGGGTCAACATAGTTCTGTTTAGTTGCAAGATCCCGCTGATGAATGTTCCTGTTCCATGCGTACTTCACATTGGGACGTCCATACGCGTCGAGGTGACCATAGTCCAAAGCCTGTCCGATTTGTTGGCGTCGAAGATACGCAATGGACTTGGGCCGATTGACGCCCTGCGCCTCTTGATAGTTAGCCCTGTAAATCGCAGCCATTCTTCGTACTTTCTCAAGTGCTGAGAAAATATTCTATGATAGTATGCTAAGACAACCTAGCCCTCCATGCCCAGTTTCCTTCAAAACGTCAAGACAAAAGCGCGCCATCTGTTTACCAATGCACTGTTGTACCTGAACAAGGCGAGATCGTTCGCTACGCAAGCCGTCAGGCATGCAGGGACAGCGCAGAAGTACATCACTCACGTTAACAAAGCTGTGCAAGAAAAACCAGAACTTTTCAGCAACAAAATACGCGAAACCAGCAATAAGATCACCACGGCTAGCCATGGGCGTCTGAAACAACTACAGAATCTGCATGGGCACACGGATGACTTTGTGGAGCGGCTGCAAGGGGGACCGATCGAGTAAGGAAAGAAAGAGTTTTATTGATGAGTTGGCTTTGAGCCAGACTATCTGCTGACTGTACAGCTCCAAGGTTGTACAGTTGGAGAAGTAGTGAAAGGAGTAAAATAGTTAGCCACCAGCGGTTCTAGATGACGGCAACCGTACCGCCGATCGATAGCGTGACGTTCTTGTGATAAGTGGTAAGCAAACAGACCCGTTGACTTGGCGCCTCCGTTGATTCCATCTCAACAGCGCCTGTTGATTCCTCCTCACCAGCTGAACCCTCAACAGCATCCGTCAATTCTTCCTCAACCGTTGAACCCTCAACAACAGCCGTAGAATCCTTGTCAACAACAGCGACTGTTGAATCCTGGTCAACTCCTGAACCATCTACCGCTGACTCCTTTTCCACCACAGCAGGCATTGGGCTCCTCTCCAACACAGCAAACGGTGAGTTCTTCACAGCTGCGACCGTAGAATCCTTTTCCACTGTAGATACGGTAGCAGCCCCCAACCCTTCCGCCGCACCCGTCCTCTCATTGAGAAACACAGCAGTGTCCGAAGTCTTGTTCTTGTTGAACCTACAGTGCTTGCTTCGAATGCTGGCGTGCGGAGGAGCGTCAAGAAATCCTGCTTTGATGCACCGGGGACAAGTAAGCTTCTTCAGCTGGTTCTGATCGACGGTTGGTATAGATTTACTGAGGGATGTCTGTGCTCCTGGGGCTGCCACGAAATCACTGTCGGAAGTCTGCAGGGTCTGATGAAGAGGGCTGACCGGAGTCTGGGTTTCAAACATGCTGGAAAGTCTGTGTTTGCGACGTTGGCACAGAGTTGTTGCGGGTGTTCGAAAGTCTGTGTTTGTGACGTTGGCACAGAGTTGTTGCGGGTTTTCGAAAGTCTGTGTTTGCGACGTTGGCACAGAGTTGTTGGGGGTGGTGCATAAAGGGTAAAATTTTTGACCCTTTATATACTACTTTTTTTATCCGATAAAATCTGGATGGCACAGACCGGTGTCACACAGAGATGTTGCAAGTCTGTGCGCACAGCTCTGACTTGGTTCCAATTGTAACTAATTGGCAGCCTATTGGGTCCGATCCCAGATTTAGAATCTGAGCCGTAATTGAGGCTGTTTGTCTCCATAAGCAGCGTATTGGACTCAAATCAAGGAATCAACTTTTCACCTTGTTGAGTGGAAATGGAGGCTTCCTAGGACAGTTTCAGACTCTCACCACTCCGTTGGACTTTTTTCCAAGCTTGACAGTTTTAAGCCGAATTTGAGACCTCTCTGGCTTGATATGGGGCCTATCCAGGGGGTTTTTTCCGAGATTCAGGTCTGAGGCCTGTTGGACCGGGTTTGCGGTTCAGATGAGGGTAAATAACGGTTTTTCAAAAGTGTAGTTAAATGGTGGCCAATTCTATACTACTCGTTTGTCACCGCTTAGGCCGAAAGTAAAAGGGAAGCAATTCTCGACATCCCCGTATTCCAAACTCGTGGGAAATCGAGCCAAACTCGCTGCAATCCTACCACCTTGTGTGTCTGTCTGTCCCACCGCATCACCGTTAAGGGTTATCATTAGGCTTCGGACGTCGTCTCCCTCCAGTTTACTCGGCTTCCCTTCTCAAAGTCCTCGACACCATGGCTGCCATTACCATGGCCACCCTCGACGGGGACATTTGTCCCGTCTGCAAGTCAGACAGATACTTGAACCCGCATATGAAGCTCCTTGTCAGTCCTTGTTTCCACAAAATGTACGGTCTTCAACGTCCAATTGTTTTGCTGTGGCACTCTCTGACTCGTTTTGATCTTGTTTTGAACGTGTGTGGAATGAAGGTGCGAAACGTGCATCAACCGACTCTTCTTGCAAGGCGCCGCACCATGTCCTATCTGCAAAGCCATCTTGAAAAAACAAAACTTTGTCGCACAAACGTTTGAGGACTTGTATGTGGAGAAGGAGGTGCAAATCCGGAAGCAGATTGCAAGAATGTGAGTTGAGTTGTGCACAGCGTGTGCACCCGTGGCGGGAAATGGAGGCATCCTCTACCCATCCTACATCTGTGGCTGATTGTTTTCGCTCATCAAGATATAACAAGCGGTTAGAGGACTTCAAGGGCAATTTGAAAGCGTTTAACGACTATCTGGAAGAAGTAGAAGAAATCCGTATGTGGGCTCCCCGAGCATTTTTCTCGTTGAACCAGACGGTTTCACTGGCAAATCACACTGAGCCCTCATCATCTTCCAGTGTTCAATCTGATAAACGAAGTAGATGTGAAAGAAACGCGAGAACGCGTGAAGAAGTACGAAGCAGAAAACAGGGATACCATATCGGCAAACATCCAAAAGCAGGTGGGATCATGAGAAGCTCAGTCAACACCTCTAAGAGGTCCGAGCTAATATGCTCACATGCCAATTTCCTGTGGTTAGATCATCGAGGATCGGACGGTGCAAGGTCGATTAGAGCGCGAGAAGAAAGAAAAGATTATTCGACGAGAGACCTACGAGCAGGCGATCATCGAGGACGCTAGAGTGAAGAAACAAGCCAAGGATGATATCATCAATCGACTCGTAAGTGATGAGCTAAGTCGTTCGACGACGATACAGAAGCACGCCTTCCCTAACAGTTGTCCACACAGGCGGACGAAGATACAGCAGCAAGCGACGTGATTGCCAATGCACAAGCCAACCGTCCGCGGGCAGTCGATATTGATCAGCTGCTGCAACAACGCTTGCCTGCCGCATTTGTGGAGTCTGAAATAAACAGCTATGAAGAGATGGATGAGGAAGAAACGAGACCGTTTGATCCGATGGATTACAGTTACTCGCTACCTTCCTATACGACGGTTAAGGATGCCTACTACGACCCGTAAGTTCTCATACTTCTGCAGCATTGCATTCTAATCCCTAGCACGCTGGAGCTGACCCCATGTTCGATGCGCAGATGGCAACGACATCTGCACTGGGAGGATCCCGAAAAGGCAACCAAGCTGAAAGCAAGCGGCTTCACCTCCAAGTTTGTGTACCAACGCGCCGTGTTCTCGGCGTTCAATGGGATCTTTGCCGGACTATGATCCTAGGGGGCACATATGAGGACTCTCAGTGGCTCGACGGCGGTTCATAGACGGGTTGCCGTATAAGGTGGCATCGGTACGCCTCGGAGCCGCATTTTTGGCTAGAGTTAGTTCTACTATTAGCAAAGCAACGCGGCGTGCCGGACCTTTTGGAAAACCCTCATATCACTAGCAGGGTAGCTCTCCCACCATCCCCGTCTCCGTCAAGAAGCACCAGACTGCACATTGCTCGTCTCAAAGTAGAATAAACATCTTATAATATGCAACGAAAAAACCGAAATGGAAGCCAAAGAGGTTGTAAGAGGTGTAGGAAGCGAAAGTGTGAGAGAAACACGGGAAACGGTATTCCGCAGCGGGGAGAGGAGGGTTCCGCCTCATGGGAATGGGTGTCAATCGATTGATGAAAAGAGGAACACAGCCTAACGTGGTCGTAGGTGGAGGTATACCGTCTGCAAAGGTGTAGGGAAGGTTGTGTGGTGTGTCGGAAGTAGTCCCACGAGGGAAGGAAGTCGTGGAAAGTGGAACGGATCAAAAGCGGATGTCTAGGTGGTGGAAGGGGAAATCGTCTGCAAATCGGAAGAGAGTGGGATGTTAGTGGAATGATCGTTTTGCGGACGATGGATCTCTGATCCTCCTCAATTCCTGCATGCCATAGATCGCCGCATATCCATCCCACAGCGTCTCCCAACCGACCGCCACGCAGGTAGTCCCCTCCCATCTCATCGCCCGACCTGAAAAAAAAAAAGACGGAAAGCACAGATACCCACCTCCAGCAGGCCAAAAACCCCCCTCACGTCAATGGCCCCCGTGCGCGCCTTTCCCCCCACTACAATATCGAGCACTTGGACCCTCCACTCTTCTTCTTTGTTTCCCGCCTCTTCCCGGGACTGCCGGCGGCCGTGCCCGTGTTTGGGAAGTATTTCCGGCATTCGCGGACTAGCGAGTGGAAGGATTCTGTCACGTTTGTGTTGTCCTAAAATCACGGGAGGATCAATAATCGGATGAGCAGTTTGTTTGGGACCTGGAAAAGTGGGTTTCTTGTGTGGGGGCTGGACGCTGCGCACCTTTGCTGATGTCTTCAGCAGTGGGATCTTGTGTTGCTGGCAAAAAGCATCTACGGCCGCGTTATCGACTTCATGTTGCTCCTCCGGTAAATCCTAAAATTTCCCAAAGGCCCCCGTCAACACGGCGTTCCGTTCGTCCCACCCGGTCCACAACCATCCCAAAAATAACGGGAAAAACTCACGCATTTATTCCCACAAACAACCAACGGCACCCTCTTCGTATCCTTCAACTTCACAATCTGCTCCCTGAGCTGCTTAACCTCCTCAAAGGTATGTTTATCGTTCACCGCAAAGACCAGCAGGAACCCTTTGCCGTCTTTCAGGTGCTGGTCTCGTAGGGCCGTGTACTCGTGTTGCCCTGCGGTGTCGATGATGTTGACTGTGCAGTTGGAGGCGTCGACTGTGATGTGCTTGCGGTAGTTTTCCTCTATTTGAGAAATGGGGGGAGGTGGGGGGTATCAGCGGCGGGGTCCTGTTTTGCGCGGGACAACCCCACGTAAACGAATTTTTTGGAGAATGCGACGCGGGTTGGGAACTGACCTATCGTAGGGTCATAATCGTTCGTAAACTCATCCTTCAAAAACCGAACGGTCAAACACGATTTGCCGACTCCTCCAGATCCCACCACCACCTGCGATCAATCATATCATTAAATGTCCGACCATCAGCCTCTCAAAAAAATAGACCCCGGTGTCATATCAAAATCGCATCAACGTACGAGCTCCTGTACTTCCTCGACCTCAGTCTTGGGCATGACGTGCGGGTCTGTACTGTTGTATGCGCAAGACCGAAGGGGCCTGAACAAATTTCTTCAATCGGTGGTGTTCGAACGGGGCGGCGTGTCAGTTATGCGTGGGTGCGGCCCGTTCGTGAGGTTCTGCCCGGGTTGGTGGGGAATGTCGTCCTTTGATGGATGTGAGGTATTGGGTTGCAATTGATGGGTGTCTGTGGAACGAGCAAGTTTAATTAAGATGGGTTTCGCGGCCCGATATTCTTCACCAACGGACTACAGATGCGTTCAAGCTAGCCATAGAAGCTGCAAGTCCCTCCCGCCACTGTTTCAATATCACAGAACCTCAACGCTGTTCGCGCCCACGGCAGCTAGCACCGGCTATCGATGTCGCACCCACGATGATCCACCCCAGGACCTGTCCCAGCGCAGCAACCTACAAGGTAGTATTATGCAGCAACAGCAAGCGTAAGTTTTCGGATTCGGTATACAAAAGTGGCGGCGGGAGTGCGAGTTTTTTTTGGAGCCAGGTATATAGCGTTTGCAGTCGGAACTGGATGTAAGTTTGCTGTCCCGGATGCGTGCGTGATGTTGGCACTGTCGTTGGCTCTCGGTGTAGCCAGCGTGGTTTACGTTAACAAGGTTTTGCGGCTAAGCCAAAGTGGTGTGCCAGCCAGCCTGGGCGTCGAGAATCACATCCGTCTGTTGTTATTTTTAGCCGCCCGGGATTGGCGGGGTTAGCATTTGCAGCTTACGTAGCGTGTAAGTCACGTGTGGCGTCACTTAAGCGCATTTAAACTCGCTCACGCGTGGCCTCAATCCCGTCGTACGTTTCCTCAATCGTTTCCAGTTTCCCCACGCAACGACAAAAACGATGAAAGTGCATCTCAAAAAGTACACGGCCGTAGCAACCTGGTCCTGGGACGTGGGCGAGATCGGCGACGAAGAAACCTGTGGGATCTGCTACAACCCTTTCGACGGGTGTTGTCCCGATTGCAAGATCCCTGGGGATGACTGTCCTTTAGGTAAGTGTGGGGCAATTTATACTTCGACACCTATACGTGAGCGCAGTCCTGATTCTCTCTCTCATAGTCTGGGGAGAAATGCAAACACGTATTCCACATGCACTGCATCGGAAAAGTGGATCGGGAAAGAACATTCGCGTGAAACAGTGTCCGATGGACAGGCGACCATGGCGAATCCGGTCCGATTGATGAGCTCCTATTCTCACGACACAGAAGGAAACTCATTTTTGGCGGAATCTGGGCATCCGGGGATGGGGCGATTGACAATGCGGACAGGGGGAAAGGCTAGGGGAAAAGTGGCAGCCCAAGAAAGGCTTCTTGATATCGGTGGCGGCCCGCCGGCGTTTTCAACGCTGCTATTCGACTTCAGCTCACGAACGGGGATAATGATCGGTTCCAAGAGCTTGCAAAGTGAGAGGACACATCCGAGCTCTGCGCGTCGGGACCGTACAAACGGTTCCCGATCACCGGATTCGAAAGACCTGCGGAAACCGCGAAAACGGGAGATTCTATCACGACCATATCGCCACCAGAACGCCGCGTTGACATTGTTGAGCCCAACACACATGAAGGCGCACACACATGAAGGCGCAGCACACACTGCAGCAACACCGCGGGCTCGTTCTGCCGCTCCAGGTCCCCGTCGTCACCTCAGCCGCGCGAAACAGGCGCTGGCTTACGAGAACCATTCGTGGCGCGTTAAGTGGTGTAGCCGGGATACACATCAGTACCTGGGGCAACAAGGGGATGGAATCGACCGAACGACTCTCATATGGGGATTTCTTCGTCATCGAAGGCTGCGCATCTCCACAGTTATATGTGATAAACCCCCGAAACCCTGTGATGGCGTATAATAAGCTACGGCACGTAATATGTAGCTCCGTTTCCATTATTCTTGCTTGTACTAAACGCAAATACGCAAACAAAACGCCCCACATTCCCACGACCTCTACCGAAGTGTACGCCCCCGAATGACAATGTCACAAGCTATCTACAATCGCCCATTCCTCTCATATCCGCTCTACACAAAAGGCTCGTCTCTAGTCTCTATCGAACCATCCCAGAACTCTACTCTCCCCCATCCACAGAACCTATTCGGAAGTCCTGAGGGGCGCAACGCCATATACCGCGGATATACTGTATGGTGGGGACCCAAGATTGGGGATGTTAGTTCCACCCCCGTGTGTGGGTGTGTTGCACTCGGTTTGGTCCCTCCGCTCACCTCGGCAGCACCGAATTCGCCTTCAACAGCATCTCCCTGTACTCCTCCTCGGGGTCGGACAGCGCAATGATCGCTCCACCTGCACCGACCGATATCTCTGTAATCGCAACATAATCAATAACCCCCCGCGCGTCCCGCATGCCAGCGTGATGGTGCACGTGCCAACATACCGTCCCGTGTGACAACCGCGGTCCGGATGACGACGCTGAACTCCGCGGCCCCGGTGAGGGAGAAGTACCCGAGGACGCCGGAGTAGGGCCCGCGCGGGGCTTTCTCGAGCGTTTCGAGGATGTCGACGGTGCGGAGCTTCGGGGCGCCCGTCATGCTGCCTATCCCAAAGAAACCATTCATCAGTTTACCAAATCGGGGTGGGGGGTAATAACAAGTAGGGAGATATTTCCTTACCTGGGGGAAACGAATGCATAACGGCATCGACGGCATTCAATTCCGTGCGCAGGCGGCCCTGCACGGTGGTGACGAGCTGATGGACGGTGGCGTACGACTCGACGTGCATCAGGCGGGCACGCAGACGGTGCGCGGGCGGGAGATGGTGTTCAGGTCGTTTCGGATCAGGTCTACTATCTGCGCGTTTTCAGGGGTATTCACAAACAATGAGTTGGGGATTGCAATGCAGTTGCAACGAAGACAGGGGGGGAGGCAATTGGGATGTGTTGGGTTGTGGGTACGCACCATGAGATTCTCCGCCCGGTTCTTCTCGTCCCCCTCCAACGCCCGCCGAACAGCTTCGTCCCGTCTCGTCCAGGCATCCTCGGGCTCCCCCGGGGTCCGCTCCGCGCGTTTCGCGGTCCCCTTGATCGGTTTCATGCTCACGGTCGCGTCTTGTTCGACGCGCATGAAGCGTTCCGGTGAGGAGGAGGCGATGGAGAGGTTGGCGCCTAGGCGGAGGAAGGCGCCGTACGGGGCCGGGTTGTGGGCGCGGAGGTGGGTGTAGAGGGTGTAAGGGTCTGGGTGGGAGGGGGGGAGCGGGGTGGAGATGCGGGTTGTGAGGCAGACCTCGTAGGTCTCGCCGTTGGTGATTTCGCGAAGGGCGGTGTGGACGTTGGTGAGGTAGGTGGGGTGGGGGTGGGCGAGGGTGAAGGTTGGGGAGTCGTGCGGGGTGGTGATGGAGGAGTTCCGTCCGCTGTGGCCGTCCCGTTGACTTTTACATCCACCTCTTCCGCCGCTAACCGCACAATCCTTCCCTCAACATCCTCCAACCACTCCCGCACCTCCTCCTCCTCCTCCCCCCTCCCTCGCACTCTCCAACGCCACCCCCCAAACCTCCCCCTCAACATGATCGAACACCACCACCCGATCCGATCCGCCACACAAACGCCGCATCCGGCACACTGCCCCCATTCTCTACCCCAAAATGTTTCCGTCCCCTCGCCTTTGTCTTGGCCGCCACATCCCTTCCCAAAGACTCTTCCTTCATCTCTCCGAAGAGACCGACGAGGCCGCAGGTGAAGGGGAAGGGTGGTGAGTTCGAAGTGGACGTGGGATGGAGGGTGGCGGTGTGCAGGCCGCGGGTGGAGAGGAGGGTGGAGATGTAGGTGAAGAAGGTTTCGGAGGGGGGAGGAGGTGGGTTGTTGGGCGGATGGGGTGGGTGGGCTGGGTGGGGTGAGTGAGGGTTACGGTGCGTTTGGCGGTACAGTATTCGATCAAAAAGCTGTTGTGCGAGGTGACGTTAGCGTATGGCGTTTTCTTTCGCGGAATGATATGTCGGCGGAGGGTAGGAACGCACCTGTTGCGCGATGTCGCTGCGCCCATATACGAAAACCGAGCAATGCTCTTTTCAGTCTGCACACCTCCCAAAGCTCCCATTAGCGAACGCGATCCACCCTACCCCAACCAACTTCACACCCCTCACCTTGGCAGAATCCAACCAAAACGCCACCTCCTCCCCACTGAACATCTCCGTGAACACCCGCTCGGCATCCACATACGGCGTCTTCAATCTCCGAGCATGTATGATTGGTTTTTTTGCATTCATGTCGTCGGTGGTGTTGGTGCGAGTAGTTAGCGGTTCAGGGAGGACGGAGAGGGTTTGGAATTCGCGGGTCATGTCTCGGGCGTCGTGGGGTCTTTTGCCGTGCTGAAGGGGGAGACGAGCGTGAGGGAAATGGTTGTAGGTGTTCTTTTGGGTGATGAACGAGGACGTACGGTTTCCCAGTACCGCGCAGCCAGCGTATGAAAGTTCTCGATGATCCGAGATCCATCTTCTGTGCATATCGACTGATAGTGGAAAGCACCGTCAGCGTTCCGATCAAGCTGAAGACCGATCCACACATGTGTCGCTTCCTCACCTCAGGATGAAACTGCACGCCCCAAATCGGCTTCTCCCTATGCTCCAGGCCCATAATCACGTCCGGTTCGCCCGCTTTCCCTTTCGTCGTTGCAATGATCTTCAAACATTCCGGTAATCCTACATATCCCGCGCAGAAAACACATAAGTGCTGTGATCTCAACATACCGAAAAGCCACGCCTCATGATCTAACCTTCCGGCGAGACAACAAGCGAATGATACCTGACTGCACTGAACGGGTTCTTGAGCGTGTCGAAGAGACTGATGGGGTGGTCGGGTGTGGGTGTGCGAGGTGTGGGTTACGGGACTGGTGCGGCCGTGGAAGGGTTCGGCAGCGTGGACTACCTGGGAGTAGCACGTATTAGATCCCACAGTCATCCGCATCAGGTACTATACTCTCTCGTAGCCTCACCTGCCCGCCACTTATCGCTGCTAACCCCTGATGCCCCAGGCACACGCCGAGGATAGGTACTGCTGCGTGTTTCAGGAGGTCGGCGCATATTCCAAAGTCCTTGGGTTTGCGATGATGGGATTAAGCATATCAATATCTCCAAGTTCCGTCTCTCTCCTTTGCGGGTACCTCCTACGCGCTGAACATACCACCTCCCTATCAGGCCTCCCCGGTCCTGGAGAGATCACTACGCAGTCAAAATGCGGTAATATATTCTCTCGAACTTCGTCCCTGCACAAAGCAAATATGTTTGAGCTCCGTCCGCGGTTATCACCCAAATACAACTGCACACAGGAGGTGCGAACTCACCCAAGTGAATTGGTTATTCCGAATAACAACCGGCAACAGCTCGTCACGCCCCAAGGCTGAACAGCAGTACTGGTACAGGTTGAAGGTGTACGAGTCGTAGTTATCGACTATGAGTGTACGGAGGTGGGGTGGTGGTAGAGTCATGGCGGATAAAAAAGTTGAGACTGGGGGGGGGGGGGGGGGGGGGGGGGGGGGGGGGGGGGGGGGTGTGTTGGAACGAGTTTGAGTGGACGAATGGACGAATGGTTCGAGTGAGGGAGCGGAGCGGGGGAAGCACCTGTCCAGCTCGAGCTATATATATGCTAGCTTTAGGTGGGGAGATCACCGATAGTCAGGTCAAGCTGAGCAACGCCGATGAAGCACCCCAAAACAGCGGAAGTAAAGTTATGCAGAGGGGGGAGTCAGGCAACGGGGTCCCCACTCTTTGGGCGGCGAGAACAAGAGAGAGAGAGATCCGAGAGAGGCAAGAGGACCCCTCCCACCCGTGTGTTTGCTACGTGCACCTCGCTACCCCGTAACATGGAAGAGGACACATCATCTGCAAGGGCCATGCTCAGTGTCTCCTGTTTTGCGCTGCTCGCCGTCTCACAGCCGTCTCAAGAGGTCTGTTTGTGGTCGACTCCAAGGGTCATCGCGTGAGGCGGTGGGTGACTTCCCACGCGAACAGACAGACACACAGACAGCGCCTGCCGCTCCTGGGAAAAAGGGAACCCCGACATCGCCTGACCTCGTTGGCA